CAGCAGGAGATGTTCTCAGTTGCAAAGCCATATGTGGTTAATTTAATTAGAAGAGAGATGTAGGTAATGAATTCTCCAAGCTCAAGACCTCCAGGAGGGTTGCAGAACAGGGCTCGGAGGCCAGGCAGCCATGGTCAAGGGTGCGAAACTGGTCCCAAGAAGATCCCTCTGCCTGCAGCTTTCCCTGACTATTTCCTGTGTGTTGATCATGTATTAGACAAGGAAATAAATCCAAATTAGCTAATATGAGTTGAGTAGGATATTAATAGATCAAAAAGTCTTTGGGGGAGCTCTGGGGAACCCTGGCAGCCAGAAGCCATAATGATGAAACCTTGATCAGGCATGAAAATCTTGCCAGAAGCCACCTTCTGGGTCCACAGCACAGCAGACCTCAGTTTCACCATTTGGGGACACTGTGTGGTGTCACTAGGACCCAGAGCCACTGCTGCCTCTGGAAATAAGATCTGGCCACGGTCTCCTCCCTCACCAGGAGGGGTCCAGAGCTCTCTGCCTCTAGGGAGCATTAGCTTCTGCAGCCCTTCCAGGTGACCACTTCCCAGAGCTTTTCAGGTCAGTGTCTGCACGCTCCTTGCGAGGGAGACTGGTGCACGCTTACTAGCATTTTGTGATCACTGTAGAGAAGTGGTCTCTGTCACATTAGACGGGGAACTGCCCAAACACAAGGGAAAGTAGGTACTAGAGAGTCAAAACATAGAACCTCCCATTAGTGACTGTGAATAAGTAAGTAAAGTAGAATTGACTTTCGGATTTTTTAAAATATTACATTCAGCACTATTAGCCAGATTTGCAGGCTAATTTATTGTGTTGAGAAATATATCTTATGTATAAATATATTTATAACGATATTATATTTAAATATTCATAAATAGATTGTACTTACAAATATATATGTTTTATTCTCTCTTTTTTTTTTTTTTTTTTTTGCTAGAGAGTTTATCCACTCACCAGTGAGAGACAAAAAGAGAGGGAGGAGAAAGAACTCCCCTTGGAAAATGACTGTACACAATCCCTTCTCTCCTATCTTTCTGGATTTGGGGCATATATGAATGTGTGTGCCCTGTATGTTTTCAAGACACTAGGTCTAGGACTTGAACCACACAGTTGGCCATGTGGGATCCAAGTCACAGGGCTGGCCTAAAATACATTTGTATCTCATTTTACTAAGAAAACATTTAAGTTGGATGAAGTAAAACAAAACAAAAGCTTACTACTTTACTTAAATAGAAAATACATAAAATGGAAAGACAAGCTCAGTTTAAATGACACAAAGCAAATATTTCATAAGGAATACAGGTTCTATCTGCAATTGAATTTGAACATTGATTCTAAATAGTAAAATCATTCACCAAAATTTTTATCTCATACTCTCCCTGGGTAAGATACATCAGGTCTGAAAGAGAATCAGGTTTCTGGTCCTCAACCCAAATTTTCTACCTGGAAGTCTTAATCTAAGTCATTAGAAATATTTAATTTCTCACTATTTGAAGAGATTCTATATACCAGGTAATAATTCATAAAACTGAACAGTCCCCAGCTTGCAAATAAAATAATCATGTGTAGGGTATTTGATGAGGAGGGTCTAGTGAGAGGCAGTGGTAATGATTTCCTGTGTTTCCTTGGCTGATTTCACGCACTAGGCAAGAGAATTTTCCCACTGCCTGGGAACTTAGAAAAAACTGCATTCACATCTTTTCAACTCAAGCCACCCACTCGCTGTGATCCTGGAAGGAAGAATTGAGGAGATTAGAAAGATTTATAGTGATAACAGACACTATATCTTTGGGAAACATTCTCTTATTAGGAGAAAAAAAAAATCAGATTGCAGTCACCTCCCATGGGTTGCATGCAAATGTTGATTCATGGACACACGTCCATGACTCATGATACCTATGGGATTGAGCCTTAAAGAGGAAAAAGGGAAGAAAAGCCAACTTGAAGTCTCCCTTTCTTCTTACTCTCTGGCCTGTCTATGGTTTATGTACCAAAGTTGCTGAGAACTGAAGAATGTACTTACTCTGGGGTATTATTCATTTATCCCAAGGAAGTTAAAAACACATGTTGTGTATGTACGTGTGAGTGGGTGTGTGATGGTAGCATGTGCATATCTTTAAAAGTGGCATCTCAGAATAGAAAAGTTTACATTTAGAAACAGCACCTCCCACTGCTCCTATATACACTAGGGCAGGGAAGTTACATTGTGCATGGGTTTCAGAGAAGTTTAAATCCATCAAAAACTGAAAGCCTTCAAGAAAAAGATCACAGAGTTTAGAACTTAACTGAGACACCTAGGTCTAGACAAGTGCTTAGTATGTGGGCAGACCTGGAAGTCAACCCATTCTCTTTCCTAGAGTTGACAGCCTCTATTAGGAATCTATAGCTGAAGATAGACTAGTAGGCATGCATTCTGTGCAGATACTTGTACTATTACAATTGATTAATATGGTGAAGCACAGACAAAAAAGCTGAAAAGGGAAACGGCTCCAGGGCACAGTGGTAATGTGCTGCACAGAAGCCAGATCCCACACGGTGAATGCAGTTCGAATCCCAGGCCTACTCTGCAGGAAGCACACCAGGCACTCTTGGGAGTGCCCAAGATCGCACATCTGGAGGACTGAGGGAACAAACCAAGCCTTGTGGAGGGTGCCGATCTCAGTCTCTCACAGGCTCCTCTGAGTGTACACCTGCACCTTTCACAAATACACTTAGTTTTTCATCTGCCATTTCTTTTCTGTCAGCCAGAAAGTTCTCAAGTCCCTCAAGTTTATTAGTGCTACCAATTTCCCTTTCAGATTCTTAAATATTTTTCTTTATTCATGATAGACAGAATGTGTGCACTTTCAGAGGAAGGGATGTAGATCTCTTTTGTTTTTATGGATTTTGTCCATTAAGTGTCTCATAACTAAAGAGATAGAAAAAATAATTATTTCCTGATTTCGAAACCACATTTTAAAGTGCTTCAAATATTCCACACTATGACAATATGTTTTTAACATGATCAGGAAGGAACAACAATGGAAATCACATTGTTGCCAGATACTAATTGTTCTACCCTCATCAGAATTCTGTGAAGAAGTCTATGACGAATCTGTTTTGCAAAGAAGGCTGCACAATGACCACAACCTACATGCCCATGTTGCGAAATGATTTTGACACCCCTCTCGGGAAGTGTCCCTCACACTTGAACTTGAGTCGGTCTTTGAGACTGTCTCCATCAACAGGAGTGTCAGGAAGGATGTGACTTTGAAGCTGGGTCATCAAACTGCTAATTACTTTCTGCACGCTCTAGAGGCTCACTTGTAACCTAGTGACCAAGCTGTGGGGAAGCCAAGTAGCCACAAGACTAAGCCACATGCAGGTGCTCCAGCTGGGCTCTCAGAGGACAACCAAGACTGCCTGCCAGGGGGGTGAGCCAGTGAGGCTTCAGGTAATTCCGGCCTCCAGCCTTAGAGTTCCCCCAGCCTTGGAGCTACCCCAGCTGAAGCACATGCAAGCAAAGTGCTGTCCATGCCAAGCCACGTGTGAGATTCGGGAACATAATGCACATGGTGGTTCTTTCAGCAACTGTATTCAAGAAACTGTGTTACAGAATGATGGGTAATTAAAATGTGACATTACTACTGTCATTTCTACCAAGGGGATACAGCCCGTATCATAGAATATGCCACAGCCAAGATGAATAGCCGTGTCAATCACAGGATGAGTGCTCTCTCCTGTAGGCCACAATGGTCAATATGCAAGATGTCCTTTTCTATAACCAATTCCTCACAAAATTGTGGTTTGTCCATTATTGACATTAATATATTGTTTATTTTGATTCACTGAAGCACACAAATGATATGGCATTAGAAAACACACTGGAAAGACCGGCAGGTGGTGAAGTGGTTAAGGGGCTAGCCCACCACAGTTCGACCAGCACAAGGTTGACCACGGTTCAAGTTCCGGACCTGGTGGCTTGCTTTCTCACATCCCCTTTCTCCCTCTCTCTCTGTTACTCTATGATCAAATTAAATAATAATAATAATAATAATAATAACAAATAAAATAAAATAATTAATTTTTAAAAAGAAAACACACTATACATTTTACCCATATATATTAAGAATTCAAATTTAAAGTGAACCTACCAGAGATGATAGCATAGTTGTAATTAAAAAAAAAAAGTCAATTTGAAAAAAAATAAAGATCCACAAGTTATGAATTACTTTTCAAAATTAAAAATGTGAATCTATGTCCAACTAATTTTTAATCTTAAAAATTCATGACTAAATATGGATAAAACATATTAGCAAATGACCCAATTTATTGGATTTAACAACTATAACAGATTTGAAGCAGCCTTGATTAAAGGAGACGATGACTAACACTTACTCTCTTTCCTTCCATATGATTTTTTGGAACTCATCCAAATGCACTCGCAAAGCTGAAATTTCAGTTACTTCATCCTCCAAGGGCAGGCTTCTTGTTGACAGTCTTAGACCAGGTTTCATCGTGTGGTCTCCAGCACCATCGTTCTTGAAGAGAAGTGTACCATCTAGATTGGGTTTCGTCTCTTTATTTAATATTAATGGATCAGTAACCACATTTTGTTCCTGAAAAAATAAATAAAAAATTAAAAGAAGTTTGTTAGGCCAGTTCCATGCCCTGGTGGTTAAAGCAGTTAAATCCCACATGGCTGACCAGAAGATTCATGAACCAGACCTGGCAGTTTGGGAAACATGCTGGGTGTGTATGTCTGCATGCCCAAAATCTCAAACGGAAGGAGAAGCAGAAGAGGAGGGACTGTGAGATGACGCTGTTCCTTGGTGGGTGCTTTCTCCTCATCTTCTGCCTGCCAGCCTCTTTCTGGTGAGTGCATGAACCCTCTAGCAAAAAATAAAAATTATGGGACCAGAAGTTGACTTAATGGTATGTCACTGGACTCCCATGTAGTCGACCATGGTTCGAGTCCCAGACCCGGTGGCTTAAACTCACACAGGTGTGTGTGTGTGTGTGTGTGTGTGTGTGTGTGCCCAAGGACCCGAGAGAATAATGGAGGAGAAGGGATTGTGGCATGGCCATATCCCCTGGGGAGTGATTTCTCATTTTCTGTCTCTCTGTCTCTCTGGCGAGCACACATGCCCTATAGCAAAAACCTCTCCAAAAGAAAAAAAAAAGTACATATATACACACATATATATGAATATTTAAATCTCTCAGCAGAAAAATCAAGAAGAAAATATATTTTCAAGAGGTGATAAATGTTGGGAACCAGCAGTTAGCATAATGGCTATGTCGCTGGACTCCCACGTAGTCGACCGTGGTTTGCATCCCAGACCTGGTGGCTTAAAACTCACACCGGGCGCATGTGCGTGCATGCCCAAGATCCCGAGAGGAGAATGGAGGAGAAGGGATTGTGGCGTGACCATTCCCCCTGGGGGGTGATTTCTCACTTTCTGTCTCTATGTCTCTCTCTCTGTCTGTCTGGCAAGTGCATGCGCCCTATAGCAAAAACCTCTCCAAAAAAAAAAAAAAAGAAAAGAGGTGATAAATGTTATGACACATCATCAATTCCATATTCTAATTGCAGTATGATTATCTAAGAGTATTATATGGTCAAACTAACTTGCACTCTTCATCAAACTTATTTTTATTTCTATTTCTACCTTATCATAGTAGTATACATTCTTAATAAGTCCATTTTTGCATTTACTTTGTTTTATTTTTCCAATCACAGTTCAAAATAACCCTGCATAAACTTGAACACCTGTGAAGAGCTTTTTAATGAGTTGATGAATTTCTCTTTAAAGTTTTTTTGTATTCTTTTGTTAAAAGGTACTCGAAAGTTTCAAAATAAAGCCTACTGTTTATATTTTTTGGAGAAAAAGGTAGAAAGAATTTTCAGGACATCCTTAAGTATTTTAATAGGCTTGTTTAATGAAGTATTTTAGTTCTAGTCAAATCTCTAATAGAATTTATTATTTTAATAAATATGGGCATCCTTTCCTAGAGCAGCTCACTCATCAGAAATCGTACACATAATTCCTAACTTTATTGTATTAAGATTGCAGATATTTGTAGATAGTTTAAATCTGACATTATTTATGGGTTTTAGAAGAAATAAAACCATGTTCTAATAAAATCTCAATTAATAGACAAATTCACATGAACTCTTAATGATATTTCACTTTTAGTATTTTATTTATTTTTGTATTTATTTTCTTTTTTGGGAGAGGTTTTTGCCGTAGGGTGCATGTGCTCGCCAGAAAGTCAGAGAGAGACAGAGAGACAGAAAGCGAGAAATTACCTCCCCAGGGGGGATGGCCACGCTGTAATCCCTTCTCCTCCATTCTCCTCTCGGGATCTTAGTTTTAAGCCACCGGGTCCAGGACGCGAACCACGATCGACTACATGGGAGTCCAGCAACATAGCCATTATGCTAACTGCTGGTCCCTTTAGTATTTTATTTTTAAAAGAATGTGTAGGTTCCTGGTTACCTAGAATGATTCATTTATTAATTCTCTTAATTATTGTTGCAATGGTACTATTTTGCAGAACAATAAAATAAAATATGTGTTGTTCCCCATGGAAAATATTGCAATCAGACAACCTACACGTACACACAGTATCATTCTCATTAAGTCTAGTTGGCAGGAAAACTGGTCAAAATTTTAAAACCCAGTTAAATCTTCTTTAACAGCTAATATTTATTTCCCTACTATCAGAAAAAGAAATTTATCTATGCTTTTATTGCCCAGATAAATACATTTAAATAAATATCTCCTGTGTATGATTTGTCCTTGACACCAATGCTAAAAGATATTCCAGATGTAATCACAAGATCCTACATAATGCCTGTGAAGAAAACCCTTCATTTTCTCCTGAGAAGACGAGCGACAGGATAGTAAATGTTCTGTAGACTCAGAGCACACTACTGAGCCAGGTTCCTTCATTCTCATCACTGCATTCCATGGACACAATTAAATTTTGAGAACTTATACCATTTTCTCAAACATGTATACAGAAATTCTACAACCAGGATTAAAGAAAAATAAAAATACTGGAAGACCAAATAAGCAGAAATAATGCCACTGTTATCTTTTTAACTTTTGTGTTTATATGGAATCTAGTTGTACCTATTATAAATTCTGAACATTGTAGAAATGCTTAAAAATTGAGGTACAGTTGTAGAGATGCAAGATACTAATTAATGTTTAGAGACAGAATTAAGTCCAAAAGGGTATCAATATAAATTAAGACTATGATAACTGGTAACATGAGTTCTTACCACTTCCTAGTTATGTTCAAGTTAAAAAAAAATAAAATAAAGAGGTAAAGTGGCTCATGTACAAACTTCTAAATTAAATGTAGTTTTGTAGAAGTTAATTTTGTGCAGAATTCTCAGAAACTTCACGATTCAAAGTATAGCCCAAAATTCTAAGAGAGTCATGTGAAAAATGTCTTAAAATGTTTGCTAACAGTACCCATTTTATACCCACTTATGTTAATTGTGAGGCCAGAGTTCCAAACCTTTTTTTTTTTTTTCCTCTTTAATTGCTACAGGGTATATGTGTTCATTGAAGAGAGACAGAAAGAGAGAGAGAAATAGAAGAGAGAAAGTTGGCAGCATGGTCAGGGCACAGTTCCTGCTCTTCCATTTCTCCACCCTTTATGAATTTGGGGCACACACGCATACACACTTGTCCAAGGTGTGTATTTTTCAAGCTGCCTCATGCCAGGCCCAAATCACAGTTTGCCATATGGTATGGCTCCTTGAGACACTAGGCCACAGGGACAGCCAGCCCCAGAATCTCAAATTTAAGAAACTGCTCTCTAGATCATTTATAATTTTGACATAATTAGGGTAAACAGAAATCCTCCAAATATTTTCTTTTTACATTAAGAAGTACTGGATTCATTTTTTCTGTAAATATTAGTAAAATGTATATGTGCTAATATTGTATCTCCTTCCACCTAGAAATGTATTGTTTGAAGTCCTGACTTCCAGTACCTCGAAATGTGACTATTATTGGAGATAGAACCTTTAGGGATGTGATTTAGTTAAACCGGGGGCCTCAGGGGACCAGCAGATGGCAAAATGGTTGTGTCACTGGAGTCTCATGTAGTCAACTGCAGTTCAAATCCCAGACCTGGTGGCTTAAAACTCACACCAAGCACAGGGGTGTACATGCCCAAGATCCTAAGAGGAGAATGGAGGAGAAGGCATTGCATCATGGCCATCCCACCTGGGGGTGGGGGGGTGATTTCTCACTTTTGTCTCTCTGACAAGTGCATGCACCCTACAGCAAAAATATCTCTCTCTCAAAAAAAAAAAAAAAAAAAAAGAAAGAAAGAAAGAAAAAAATGGGGTCATCAGGGTAGGCCTAGTGATGGTGACCTTATAAGAACAAGAATTAGAGCCAGAAGGTGGCATTAAGTGTAAGGCACTGGATCTCACTGACCAACTGTGCAGTTTGAGTCTCAGACTCAACAGTTTAAAAATCATTCTTGGGCACATGTGTGTACGATGGAGAAGGGATTATGGCATGGTCATACCCCCTGGGTTGATTTCTCCCACCAATCCCACACTCCACTCCCATTTCTTTCTGGTGAGCGTATATGTCCTATAATGGAAAAAAAATAAATAAGTAAAAGATGACAAAGAAGAACTTAGGCAGAGACATACAGAGAAAAGATGAAGTGAGGACACAAAGAGAAAACTATTAGCCAAGAGGAGCAGTCTCAGAAGAAACCAACTCTGCTGGCATCTTGATCTCAGTCTTCTAGTCTCTACAGCTCTGAGAAAATAAATTTCTGTTGTTGAAGTCATTCAGACAGGGGCTCTTTGTTATGGCAGCTGCAGATGACTAATACAGTCACCAGAAGTTTTGTTGCTTTCCTTTTTTTCCCGTGCATGACATTTAGACATGCATATACCCTCTGGATTATTCAAAGTATTTTTTTTCTTACCTTATTAATTGTATTGTCCTTTGTAGGAAATTGCCTTTTTATCAAACACTCTTTGACAGATTCACACATTTGTGAATTACTTTGAAATTCATCTTTATGCTCAGAGGACATGTCTATAAAACTAGGTAGCTTCAGCTCCTGAGTAACTTTGGCTTCTAATGTCTCCTTTTGAGGTGACAAACTTTGCTTCTTTTTCAGCTCACTCAGTTCTTTCATTGTCATCTCTAATCTCATTCTGAGTTGTCTTCCTTCCTCCCTGGCACTGTTCCTTTCAGCTCGAACTTTACTCCATTTTTCTCTCCAGTTGGCGGTGCAGTCAGACCACCACCGCATGGTCTTTTCCATCTGAGCTGCTCTGGCCTTGACTTCTTCAAGTTCCCTCAGGCGTAGTTCTTCACAAATGTCCCACTGGTTGGTGCTGTATGAGTGAGCACAGAAACTGTGGGCAACATGAGATTGTGGCCCAGAAAATGGCAGGCAGGTATCCCAGGCATCCCTGGAGGATGAGGCAGGTGCTACCATGACAGAGTGTGGCTTAAGTGATGACTGCTGCATCTGAGAGACTTGTGTTTCCTCAGTTAACGAGTGAACAGAATCTGAATTCATAGTTAACTTTTTAAGATCTGAGAAAAAACAGAGGACAAAATTATGTATTTGAATTTCCCTTGCAATTATAAGAGCAAGACCTACCTTCAAAAATGTTGTTGCATCTTCTCAATTGCATCTTTTCTTTTCCAGTACACCTAAAAATATAGAGGAAGCTATACATTTGTAATCATCCTCAAAGAAACAGAAATCTCTAGTATTAAATTTTGTCAAATACAAATAAAAGTATTAACATGTAATTGAGGATAGCATATGGCATGAACAATTCATTTCAACAAATCTTATTCTGCTCAGATAGGATTTGTTGTAACATTGTCCACTAAGTAATAGTCCCCTTCCCCTCACTATCTGCACCCTGATTTATTTGGGTAAAATAAAGAAACTATTGATCTCTGAGATCAGCCCTTATCCCAATCCCAGAGGCTAAATCATGACTATCTATGACTTCCAAGTTGAACTCCATCCATTGGTTATTCTTTAGGCTCAAGACAGGATTACGATCTGGTTCTCTATAATCAGATGGGAGGGGAAGTCTCCTGGGAAAATGTCCTAATTAGAAAAATATGAGAACATCAGAATGAGAAACCGTCTTTTCTCTATCTTTTTCCTGCCTGAACAAAGCCATGGTTCTTGAAGAAGGTGAATCTAACAGCCATGTTGTAACATGGAAGATTGTGGAACAAAAAGGAGAAGAATCCAATTTAACCAGCTGAGCTGTTGAATGAAGCTTAGAATGCATACCTCTGGTTTCTTTGCTTTGTGAAAGTAATTACCTTTATTTATTTAAGCTACAACACTCCAGATTTCTGCTACTTGCTATCACAAGGACATCTAGCTGACACATGAGTTAATTTCCTTGTTGGTGATATTGTGACAAGCTCTAAAAATAAAATATCATGAAAAAACATGGTACTTTTCCTCAAATATTTCACTAGTCTGTGGATAAGGTAGCACATTCAAATTTTAAAATTCTCAATTCACACCAAAACATATATATTTACTAATATTAACTCAACTTTTATGTATCAAGTCAATATTATGTTCTTGTGGCACTTCAAGGTAATACTGGAAAATATGATGAACTAGCTCCTAGAAATGAGGAACCCTCACAGCACAGATGACAGTGAACAGCATCTTAACTATTTCAAAGTTTGGCAAAGGAATTAAGATCAGTTTTCATATAAAGAACGAAAGAAAATTAATTTGCAAATGCATACCATTTTTATCAATTTGTACTCCCATCACTTCATCTAATAAAGCAATATAGTTATATTGAGAATATAACAGTTAGAATCTATTCTTTAAAATATTTGCTTAAACATATAGGTTAATTTACAAATTAATAAACTCTGTAGCTCTACAAGGTGACCAATTTTCCAAAGATACTGTTTTCTGTTGTAAATAACTTAGATGATATTTTACGTGCTTGACATTAATTCCTCTCACTTTTTCATTTGCTTTTATTTAGTTATGGGTCATAAACTGCCTCCTTATGTCCCACCTATTTAACAAACTGAATGGGTTTCATTATACCAACTAAATACCTACTTTTTGTTTTTATTTTTAAGCCTCTCTTTAGTGGAGGAAAAAACTATACAATAACTTTTTTTAAAAAATGACATACTGAGGCTGTATAAAGACTTTATAATAGTAAAGTGAGTCAATATTAACTTTGCCTATAAAAATATTTTATAACTTTTCTCTTTTCGCATTTTATTTTATAATTTCTTATTCACATTTAATTGTTGTATATCTTTGTGAAACAGAACACAAAGCATGCGTGCAGTGCTATAGTTAAATCAAGAATATTATATACCTCATTTTCAACAAAGAGCCTTGCATTCTTGTGTAGGATAAATGCTACTTATTGTAATATAGACTCATAGTAAAAAAATAGGTTTGCTAACATTTGTATCTGTCCAATGATATTTGAGTTAGTCCTTATCTGGAGTAATTGTTTACTGAGTTCATTCCTTTACTGTAACACGGAGGGCATGATGATATAGCTGACCACGTTTCTCAGATTATCACTAAATAAAGACCAACTGTTTTAAAAAACGAATGCAGGGAACTCCTAATTACAGAACACTAAACACACACACATACACATATAAGGGTACTTAGAAAAGTTTGGGCAGCCAGTGGCATGGTGGTTAAGGAATCTAGATCACACATGGCCAAGGGCACAGTGGAGTCCCAGACCCAGCGGCTTGAAAACCATGCTGGGCATGTGTGTGTGTGCATGTCCAAGATTTGAATAGGAGAATGGAAAAGAAGGGGCTGTGTCACTCTCTCTCCTGGGAGTTGTTTTCTCATTCTCTTCCTCTCTCTCTGTCTCTCTCCAGTGAGTGCACACACTCTAGAGAGAAAAATAAATAAAAAAAAATAAATAGAAGTCACAAAAAGTGGGATTAAAGTATGAGTTAATTTAGTGCAAAATAATTAAATCCATGTGTAGCTTTCTCATCATACATATTTTCCATGAATTTTTGAGGACTACACATACACATACATATTTATTTATATAGTCACCATTCACTTTTTTTTTTTTTTTTTTTTTGAGAGAAAAATAAATAAAAAAAAATAAATAGAAGTCACAAAAAGTGGGATTAAAGTATGAGTTAATTTAGTGCAAAATAATTAAATCCATGTGTAGCTTTCTCCTCATACATATTTTCCATGAATTTTTGAGGACTACACATACACATACATATTTATTTATATAGTCACCATTCACTTTTTTTTTTTTTTTTTTTTTTTGGGTTTTTTTTTTTTTTTTTTTTTTTTTTGCTATAAGGTGTGTGCCTTACCAAAAAGACAGAGAGAGACATAGAGGTACAAAGCGAGAAATCACCCCCCCCCCCAAGGGGGATGGCCACGCCCCAACCCCTTCTCCTCCATTCTCTCGGGATCTTGGGCAAGCATGCACATGCGCCTGGCGTGAGTTTTAAGTCGACTACGTGGGAGTCCAGCGACATAGCCATTACGCTAACTGCTGGTTCCCACCATTCACTTTTTAACAGTATTTTTTTTTGGTTGAAATTCCAAAATGAAAAAAGAATTTAATTCAGCATATTAAACTTAAATTTATCCTTGCCACTTTCAAAATAAATCAGTATCATAAAATTGTAATGTATTTAAAATGACTCATTAACTTTTATTTCACTAGTGTTTTGAAGACTTCATAATTACATGCTGGTACATTGAGATCTTGCCTACAAATTAACTACGTATTTTTTCACATCAGACTAACTAAAAAGGAGTTGGGTTTAATCATTCAGTCCTTGAACTTGAATACTATTTCCAGTTTCAAAGAGTTTTCTCAAGCAAAGATAACTTGCTTGTGATGGGGAAATTTAATATACATCTGCATTATTAAATTATTTTCCTTATATATGTGTGCATTCTTTCAGACTGTAAAAGTATTTGCCAATTGTTAAAGCACAAGGTCTTTGATGTGTGAGGAAATATTGTAATTCAGGTGACTTTTTATTTCTTTTTTATTTAATCTTATTTTAATTTCCTTTATACATTCAATCACATATGTCACTTAGTTTGTGAAGTGAACATTCCAACATGAATGCATTTCTCACCAGTCTAGTTGGGGATACTATCCACATTATCTTCAACAGATAATAACCCTTTTCTTTGTCCCATAAATGTCTTGCCTCACTAGTTTTCTCCTTAATGTCCTTCCTCAGACTCTCCTCCTTCTCCCACCCTCTTCCTACACTGTACTTGGTATCTATAACCACTTTCTATGTTTCTATATCTTCTAGACCCTTTGTTTTCTTGTTTTGATTTTTGCATTACAAAAAATGTCACACAATAAAGATCATTACTGTCAATATTTTAATACATTTCAAATATACTAATAAATAATATATGGTAGATGGACATTGAATATATTATACCACAAAATATATTATTTCTGGGACCAGCAGTTGGTGTAATGACTATGTCACAGACTCTCATGTAGTCGACCTTGGTTCGAGTCCTGGAGGCTATCTCCCCCGGGGGGGGGGTGCTCGCTGTCTCTCTGTCTCTCCCTGTCTTTCTGGTGAACACATGCTCCCTATAGCAAAAACCTCTCAAAAAAATATTATTTCTTACCAAAGAGCATCTTATGTATGCCAGAGTCTATTGGTTTATGTCCCAAATCTGCTTTTTAGACAGATGATCTTAGACAAATTACACAAACTGCTTTTGAGTCGATATTCTTATTTGTGAAAAGAGGCAGAGAGCAGGTACTTCATTAAGTTCTTGGGACCATTTAATGAGAAAATGCCTGCAGATCAGCTGGTCTAGGGTGTCTCATACACAAGGTGAGAGTTTTCCCCAGTGCTGCGTAAATCAGGAGTATGTCACCTCAGACTAACATGCCATTTAATTTTTTTTTAGATTCTTTTTATCTTTTTTGAAAGAGAAACAATGGACTTAAAAAACAGAGACCATGAGAAAAAATGGGATTCACAAAAATTTTCTGAACATCATGTAACAAAGGTCCAGTCTCAACTTCTATTTGATATTAATTTTAAACAGCAAAATATTAATGCAATTATTTTCCCCATCCTAGTGATGAAGAAACACGGTGTATGGCTCTGATATATCCACCCATGTCACCAGTCAGAGGGAGTCAACCCAGTTTGAGAATGAAAGAAAGTTGAGTCCAGAGCCACTGCCTCCCTATGGAAAAAATCTATGTCTTCAAGAATATGACCTACTTTCACTCTTACGAGGATCTGTCGGATTAGTCTTTTAGATTTCCATTGGAGTACTTTATGCTAAAATGCCTCCTATTAGTCAACTGAATTAGTTAGCTGACCCCAACCTTATCCTTTGAGTTCAATCAATCTCCTCTTCAGAGCTTAAAGGAACCGCAAGATCTGGGGTCTGGCCTTTGTCCAGCTCTCTCCCTGACATTCCAGTCCCACGTGCCATGCTTCAGCCACCATGGTGGGTCTGCTCCTTGTACAGCATTCTTCACACAGCCTGGGTGCTACGAGGGACCACCACG